ATTGGGAATATTAGCTTTAACTCGGTGGCATTTTCAGCGGATTCCTTGATCTTTCTCTGTCTTGTTTGCATAGGTAGTCCTCAACTTAGTTTTTTGCACCCAAAATTTCTGTTGCTAAGCAAGGCAGTTATTAAGCAAGTTGCACCTCATTTTATAACTTTCTTGTCCTAGTTGTTAAGTGCATTACCGTGGTTGTTATGTGAATCATGCAATTGTTAAGCGAATCTGGCTTCCCTCATTGACTTTCCTTATTGTAAACTGGCTGGTAGATTACAAATGGTCATCACCTGAACCCAGGACAATGCAACTATCATAAATACTTGCCAGTTGCCAAGTGACCGAATTTTGATCATGTGACCATGGGGGATACTGCAATGGTTTTAAGTGTGAAAAATGATCATACTTTTTTCCATGCCATTGTAACTTCAAACAGCTCTAAACGAATGTGGAAAAAGTTCTTGGTAGGCCAGATTTAAAGACAAAATGACATAGAGACAGGGTACCTGAAAACATATAGAGTAATCAGGGCCGGATTTTCCTATAGGCTAACTAGGCTTCAGCCTAGGGCCTCAAGCTCAAGAGGGGCCTACATTCAAATTGTTAGCAAAATTAAAATTACACTTTCACTATAGGTGAAAGGGCCTCATAAGTGGAATAGCCTAGGGCCTCTTTTCATCTAAATCCGGCCCTGAGAGTAATAATCTGAAGGTTTTGTAAGATTCTGTGAAAGAGATGAAATTCTTAATGCTTGATCTATCATGGATCATAGGTTAAAGCAGGGATGTCAAACTCATGTTGTCACGTTGTCGTCACGTGTTGTATTGCAACTTCTCCCCCCTTCGCTAAAGGGAAACGCATCCAGTCCATGGGCCGCGAGTTTGACACCCTTGGGTTACAGTATGTCAGTCCTAAGAAAGCCCTTGAATCTTTATATGGGTTTTACAGAAAGAATAGTTCACAATTTGAGTCTTCAACATTGGGATAGCATTATGACCTGACGGAACAAGAAAACATTGGAAAGTAGTGTGAAACTGATTCTGAACGATACGTATTCAGTTAATTGTGGCAAAATGTGGCAAGGATCTAGTTACTGGAAGAAATCAGAAATAAAGACAATAATAAAGGCTGAGGTGCGTTCTGGCATATTTTATTTTCCAGCATTGTCCTCAGTATTTAGAGATTTATAACTATTGAGACTATTGAGTTTAATTACATTTGCTTATTATCTAAGTTTTTTCAAAGTATTTTCATTGCATTGAACACGATTTATGTTTAGTAGACATTTCAGAATTAGCATCTAAATATAAGCAGTGAAAATATATAAATGCATTATTATTTTCAACTTTCTAATTATTAGTTCCTGATATTTCTTTGAGAAACTTAAAAGTTTTTGCAAGTTCAAAATCAAGGGAAATAAAGTAGCTTTGTATCATTCTGTTTATAAATAATTCTTGACAGTCTGCAAGTTTAGTACAAAAAGCTGAAACAGCCTTTGTAGTTGAGAAACTTCCCTGAATTTTTTTTTTTTACTTTTTCCAAGTATGTGTTGTTTTTATATTATGTACTGGCACTTTTAAGTTCTTTTATTAATCAAACCAAAATATGCTTTTTAAAGAGGAAACTAGACCTTCTGGTTTTTGTTTGAAGACATTTTGTTCTCATCCAAGAAGCGTCTTCAGCTTTTGGGTGAGAAGTGAAACATCTTCAAAGAAAAGCCAGAAAGTCCAGTTGCCTTTTGAAAAAGCACCTTAGGGACAATTCAATGACCTGGATGACATTTTATTAATCTAGTTTGGGTGTCGGCAACTCGCAGCCCCAGAGCCACATGCGGCTCTTTGACCTCTCTCCTGTGGCTCCCTGCTGACGCGGTCGCACAATCTGCTCTCTGGCCTGAGAAGGCCCAAGCCTCTCCACAGAGCTTCACGGCTGAAGTGCCCCTAGCATTTTCTCCGTGGCTGCTTTTTGCGATTCTGCATCCTTTGCAGGTAGCTCAGCGCCAGCTGTGGTCCCCTTCATGTCGGCTCAGGAAGGACAGGAACAGGGAGGAGCAGCTGCCACTGCCAGATGCAGGGAGGGAAGAGCTCCTGCTCTCCTGCGCAGTGCGGGCAGGCTCTCCTGCACAGTGTGGGCAGGCTCTCCTGCATAGCATGGGTGGGCTCTCCTGTGCAGCGCAGCCCGCTACTCACCTCACTGTGCAGTGGTGGCAGTGGGAGGAGGAATCACCATTCCTGCCACCGCCATGATCCCGGCCCAGGAGGGTATCCCGCTTGGGCACATGTGCATGCACGAGACAGAGATGAGAGAGAGAAAAGGGGAGAAAAAGAGAGAAATGAGAAAATGATGGAGGGAGAGAATGAGACAGAGGAAAAAGGGAGAAACAATTGAGAGAGAGAGAGAAAAGGGGGAGATGGGGAGAGATAAATGAGAGAGAGCTGGAGGGAGAGAATGAGACAGGGAAAAGAGGGAAACAAATGAGAGAGGGGAAAAGAGAGGGAGGGAAAGAGAGAGGGAGAGAGAGAGAAAGAGAAAGAGAGAAAAAGAAAGAAAGAGACACACACAAACAGAGAGATACCTGTTTCCCATAGAAAACACCGGGAGCCACAAAACCTGGATAGGCATGGCTGGGAGGGGTCATGTGACTGAGTGGGAGTGAGTGACATTGAGTTGGCAACACCCACCCAGGTTTTGTGGCTCCCAGTGTTTTGTTTTCTATGGGAAACAGGTCCAAATGGCTCTTTGAGAGTTGCAGAGCCCTGATCTAGATGTTAAAATAACCTAAAATATAATGGGAAGTGTAGCATCATCAAAGTAAGAATCATCCTTCTCTGGTTAAATTCCTGAAAACACATTTTATTTAGTTTTTTCAATAGCAATTAAAAGAAGTTTACTTAGTTAAAATGGAGGAATGCCCAATCCTTCATATGATTATTGTTGAAAAATGTTCAGGAAAGAAAAGGGACAAACTTTTTGAGCGCTAGAAAAATAAGGTGGTCAGGAAGAGAACTTTGACCCTGGCCATTAGGATACTATATAAGCTTTTGTTAAACCTCTATGAAAGGGTTATAGGTTCTATGAATGAACACCAGTCAATCAATCAATAAGTTTCTTCTAGCGTCCACAGGGTTATAACATGACATAGCATAAAAGAAGAAATAAAATTAATATCATCATCATCATCATCATAATTCAAGGGAGAGGAACTTATAAGAGAACTGTATGGAACCATTGATACAACTGAGATCTTAATTGTTCACTTGTTCGCCATTTGAGCCCTTACGTTTATTTCTCATTTGTGTTTTTCCTCTGATGTCATAGTACAGTGTTGGCGAACATTTGCGCATGCCGGTAACCTGGTCTTCCAGTTTCTGGCATGCATGTGCATGTGAAGACCAGCTGGCTGGCACTCATGTGCACTGGAACCCAGAAGAGCAGCGGACAACGGCTGGTGTGCCTGGAGAGATGGCTCTGTGTGCCATTTCCAGCACGCGTGCCATAGGTTCGCCATAACTTTCATAGTAGATAAGGCAGAACAACAAGGAAAATAATGAAAAATGTCTAGCTCTGTGAATGAGTTCTTCAAGGTTTTGAAGAACACAATAGGCAAATCAAGTTATACATTGACAATAAAACTCATGCTTGCTTAATATTATAATTTATAAAAATGATAATGGTGATTACCTAGGATAGTTCGATCCAGTTTTTAAGTTCTTCTCTTAGTCCTATTGGATTATGTAATTTAGGAGATTTGAGAATACAGTGCTACTGTGACATGACAGGTTTGCTGGATTTAGTAGAGTTTGTCCCCATGTATTGATTATTTTATATTTATTTATTTTAGATTTATATGCCATTATTCCTCACAAGGTAGATTGGTTCATTGACCAATGCTAGATTTGAATCATCCTACTCCTAACCCTGTCACTACACAGTCTAGTGTATGTGATACACATTAATCATTGTAGAGCAGAGGTGTCAAACTCTATTTCATTGAGGGCCGCATCAGGGTTGTGTTTGACCTCGGGGGGCCAAAGTGGGGCATGGCAACTCAATGTCATTCGTTGGGGGCGCCTGTGGTGGCCCAAGTGCTCTGCCAGTGAAAATGGGCTCCTGACCTCCGTTTTTGTCTGCGATGGCCTCCTGCAACTGTCTGCCAGCCTGTGGGCAGCCCTCCTGAGCTCTGTTTTTGCTGGCAGAGGACGGGCCAGTCCTTCGCTGTTTCCAAGGTGACCCATGGGCCAGATCTAAGCACCCTGCAGGCCAGATCTGGCCCCCGGGCCTTTAGTTTGACACCCCTGTTCTAGTCACTTCTATCTGACATATATTATAGCCTCACCACCTCAGCATGATTCTGTTTACATTTTTGAATTACAGATTTATCTGTAATAATCCATACATATCATTATAAATATACTGTACCACATTTACTAAAATGAAGACAATTTTTCCTAAATAGTTTACCCTTAAAACAATTTATCTTAAAATGGGAGGGTCTTCTTAGAATCACTAAATAAAGGATATATTTATTTTTTTTATTTATTTGGGAAAATTTATATAGCCATCTACTCGCTTATGGTGACTCTAGGTGGCTTACAGAAAACAAAAACAAAATATAGAAGAAATAAAAAATAAAATAAAATAATAACCTCCCTACTCCCCTCGGTGACAACACACACTCATATCAGCCATTTAATGGGCTCCATCCCATTCTGGGTTCCCCAGGCTCACGGGCCTTACGAAAGAGTGTCAGAGTGGGGGCCAGTCTAATTTATGGAGGAATGATGTTCCAGAGGGAGGGAGCCACGACAGAGAAGGTGTGAAAAGTATAAACGAGCTTGTTGTCTTCTTTTGGGGATGTGAAAAAGTCAGATAATTTTCCTTTCCTTTGGGATAAATAGGACAGTGTCCATAACAACTGCCTTCTTAAATAGCAGCTGTACTTGCCAAAGGAATGAGTTTTTACATGTAGTTAAAAATTATTGCATTCTTAAGTATTAAGAAGTTCTGTTACAGGTAATTCTTGTTTAGTGACTGTTTCTTTAGCAACTATTTAGAATTAGAATGCCATTGAACAAACAATAGCTATGACTGGGCTTCAAAATCACAGTTGTAGTGTATGCTTCAATTCCACCTGCCCATATTTCTCTCCCCCACCCCTCCCCAGGCTGGCAGCTGCCTCAGGCAGGCATGCCTTGTCAGCAACAAGAGGAAGAAGATGTCAAAGGGTCAGGTGGGCATCAGGGATAGGTGACAGTGGGAGAGTGCAAGGAGGCCAAAAGGGCAGAGGTTTTTGGGGGGAGATAGGTGGGGTGTTGGAAGTTATAGGTGATAGCAGCAGGGTAAGCCAGAAGCATGGGAGCCAGTTTAAATATTCTCCTTATTGCTGTCGCTGCTAATGTTTATCAGCAACTGCTTACTTAAGGGTTGCTCTCCTGATTTCATTCCTTCCCTATCTGACATTTTGCCCATTACCCAGTCACAGCAGATGCATTAAGAGCAACCAATTCTTCTGTGAAATTGGGCAGCCATTCAAAACAATAATATAGTATATCCTTGTCAGGTGTTCAAAACATATCATTTCAGGGAACATGCATTTTCTGAATGCATAAATGACAGCAAATATAAAAACTGAATATCATTATTTTTCCCCGGTAGACCTCCTTGTCAAAATAGAATGATCGAGGATGGAGGAGCATGGATCTTCATTGACTTCAGAAGCCTAATTGTTGAATGGAGCTAATAATAATTTCTAATATAAAGATTCTTTTTTATGTTGAGAATTGTATGGAAATTCTAATGTAGAATTAAATATAATATACAGAATTATAGAGATGTCTATGAAGTTATAAAGGAATGGATCAATTCCATATGTAAAGTTTGTTTGGCATGAATACTACTTTGTATTCTAATTAAATATATGAAAACTTAATTTCTTTTGGTTCAATTACAATATAAGGAGAATCTAAAAGACTAATGAGTAATAGCATGTAGATTCACATACCATTTTAAACCATGTTTTGTTTTAGTTATAATTTGTTGAACATAACTTATTTTTGGTCTTGTTCACACATTATGCTAAGCTATCACATTTTTACAAACCATTGTAGCAAGTTGCACTTAACGTGCTGAGCCAAAAATTGCTTTACCCAGCCACAGGCTTTATTATATAACCTCAAGTGATAATTGGAAAACATTCATTTAATAATGAAATTTCTTATATATTATTAATGATAATAACATCAGTGCTAGATATTCTACTGTTGTGATTTTTCAGTTCCTGGTCTATGGATTGAAATTGGTTTCTTCTGATTCTTGGTGGGAAAGCCTATTTAACTTCTTGATATTTGCACAATCATCTTCCTTTTCTAAAGCGGAAAGCTGAGCCGCTTGGCATTAATAGATTAAGATTGGCTTTAATTGCTGGAAAGGACAGATGTTGGTAATGCAAGATCTCTTCCCTAGGCCTTTTTCTTTCCCTTCAAATCTGTGTTTTCAGCGATTGGCAATATAAAATGTATCCTTTTCATGTTTTCTATTCCCATTTTCCCATTTAGCGTAAACATTTTACCAAGACATACAAATTTGTTTGATTCGGTCCTTTGTGGTTTTTATTGTCAATTATTTATTCTACCTTCCCTGTCCAACACAGCTAATATAGACATAATATTCATGCTCCTTATCACATTACGCAGTCTAACATTTGATAGTTATTGAATTCAATTCCCTATTGCTCCCCCCCCTCCCCAAGGTAGTTTGGATCAGAGTTTTTTCCATATTTAATTTGTTCTTGTGGGTACTAATTTTCACTCAGGCAATTTATATTCAAATTAGATGATTATTTAAAGAATGCAAGCAGAGACATTTATAGGGTGTTAAATTTATTTAAAATTTAAATTGACCTCCCACATCCAGCAGCAGGAAGCCCTCCAGCAAGGGAAGTCCTAATGAAAAGTCTCCTGCCTTGTCATTGCAATTACTGGAGGGTTCTGCCTTGGTGAATAGAGAAAGAATGTCCCGCCTAAAAAAGTTGCAACTCCTCCCCATTTCTGTTGTTCCCTGTCTAAGGCTTTGAAAACAGAGAAGAGGCCTATGAAGAACAATTGAAATAACTGAGTGTGTTTACTGGAAAAGAGAAGCTTAAAAGGAAATATGAAATTTATTTATTTAGCATATGGCTGGTCACACAGATGAAAGATGAAAAAGCCTGTCAGATAGAAGATTTATCCACTTTCATAGAGTAGAACCTCAACCATCAACTGCAAATTGTTGCAAAGCAGATTTACCTAAAATCTGAATGGAGTGGAATGCAGTGGGATGGGGTAGGTCAGAAAAGAGTATAATATAGTTTTTGATAACGAAAGAGATGTGGAAAGTATTATGATTTTACAGCTGAAAAGTAGTAGGTTTTTTTCTTCATTTTCGGTATTTAAATAAAAGTTTGACAGCCTTTTGTTAAGATTTTATAGCTGTTTTGCAGTTATTGTAAGGAGCCTTGGTGGCGCAGCAGACTAAAGTGCTGTTAAGTAGCACTTAGCTGCCAGCTGCCTGCAATTACTGCAAATTCAAATCTCACCAGGCTCAAGGTTGACTCAGCCTTCCATCCTTCCTTAAAATGAGGACCGGGATTGTGGGGGCAATAAGCTGACTTTGTATAAAAAGAACACTGCTTTGGGGGGGGGGGCACGAAAGTCCTACTAAGCAGGTATATACAAAAGTATGAAGGCTATTGCTTAACACATTGTAAGCCGCCCTGAGTCTCCGGAGAAGGGCGGCATATAAATCGGACCAATAAATAAATAAATAAATTGTATTGAGCAGGGAATAAAGCTAGGTGACCACATTTCTTCTTGTATCTAATAATCTGTGGGAAGGATCCTAAAGTAAGTGTACATATAGGATCACAACTGAATATTAACTTGGAAGTATATCTTCCATTCTTTACCAGGAACTTAATCACAGTTAAGTGTGCATACCAGCATATTAAGGAACAAAAAATTAGTAGAACTTATTTCCAAATAACCAGGCATAAGACTGAGTTGTAGGTCTTATAAACAAAAATTTGAACAAATGAAAAGCTACATCTGTTTTTTGGTATGGTGTAAAATTGATTCCATTTAAACTCTTTGTTAATCAGTAGAATCTCAGGGTTCACCTTTCCTCAGTTCCCTATTAAGAGTAAAAAAAAAAGTTTAAAAAACAAGACAAGACAAATTCATTCAGAAAACCAGATGGCTCCAGCTTTTTTTGTGCTTGGATTGATATTTTTAGCTAAAGAGTAGCTAAAGATACAAGTAAACAATAGCCCCCTTTAATTATGTCTCCTCTTTTCCTACAGAAGAATGGGCAGAATTAATAAGTACACACAGGAAAAGTATTCAGTCAGTATCTGGTTTCCAGAAGCATCAGCACAGTACAATGATCATGTTCTATGTTCTATTCCAGTGATGGCGAACCTTTTCGGCACCAAGTGCCAAAAAGCGAAAATTTTGCAGGCAGGCATGCACTTGTCTGGGCCAAGACCAGGAATAGGAGTTGCCCAGGGGCGTGCACATACCAGAGAATGTACTTGTGGTTTCTTCAGGTTACTGCTGGCAAATCTTCAGGTTACTGCTGTGCATGCGCATGCACATGCGCCAATCAGCTGGCAAACAAGCGCCAGAAAATGTACTTCCGGTTTCTGACATGCGCATGCATGCTGGCTGGCAAGTCTTCAGGTTACTGAAACGGGTGACGTCGCGCATGCCAGGTGACATGGCTCCGCTTGCCACTTTGGGTACGCATGCCATAGGTTCGCCATCATGGTTCTATTCTATGTATGATCATGTTCTATGTTCTATTCTATGTATAGGCGTATACAGTAGTGGGTTTCACTTAACTTCACTACTGGTTCGGAATTGTGAGCGTGTGTGCACTCGCTTCACTCGTGCATGGCGCTTCTGCGCATGCATAGAACCTTCTGAGCATGCACAGAGCATCCGTGATGACGTCCAGGTGGGTTGGCGGAGCCTCCCGCTGCAGCTACCGGTTCGCCCCAGAAACCCACCACTGGGTGTTTACATGCACTGTTTGCATATGCTAAGGTTTACTATAGTATATATTATTCACTTTTTAATGTCGAATATTCATTTATTTTTCACATTTTAAAGATAATGTCTAAATATGGACAGATAGTTATTACAAGTGTACAGTTGATATTCAATATAACAGTAATAAAAAGGTACCAAGCAAAGTACACTGAGTTGTTTTCATAATAATAAAAAAGGTAAAAAGAAATAAGAATTTTGGAGCTTTGTAACAGTCTCTGCTATGTTATAAATATTTTGAGTACAAGTAGCATAGTATAGCTTTTTCAACTCTGGTTTTTGGTGATATTCACTAGGCTTCTTAGTTTCTCTTCCTTATGTACCCTTGCTTCCTTGTCAGGTCCTGTCCTGATGCCTCCCTGGTTTGTTCTCATAAATCTCAATTCTGTCTTATTAACTAAAGTGTGACCATGTTGTTTCAACCTTCTAATTCTTTTTTCCAAGCATCATATAAGAATGCATTTGCTGCAAATATATTCTAGTTTGTTTTTATATAGTAATACAAATATGCCACAAGCATTGTAAGCTTTGATTGAAGAGTCCTGTCCATATATTTTCATCATCTTTCCTAAGGCACCAGCAGCAGAAAAAAACATATATATTAGTAATCTCCCCATTGGATGTATGTATGTATATGTATGTATGTATGTATGTATGTATGTATGTATGTATGTGTATATATATATATATATATATATATATATATATATATATATATGTATATATCCATCTCCATATATATATCTATCTATCTCCATATACCTAAGATCCTGTCTTATATTTTTTGAACTCTGAAATAAGTGCTTGGCCTTATTGCCATGCACTCAAAAACCAGATTGGGTTTATTATCAGAGTATATATACACATGCACACACACACAGACACACACACCAGTGGTGGGTTGCTATCTCATTCAGTAAGGATCAGCCAGTCACACACAATTGCCAATCAGCAAACATTCAGTAGATAATATTTTATCTCTTCCCATCTGACTGAACAGTAAATACTGGTTTTGTAGTTACCTAATATGCCTAATAGAACCCACCTAATAGAATTTTACAAACTTTTGTTAGTACCATGTAATAATAATTCATCCAGGTTATGGCCAATTTTGTTCTTTAGGAATAACATATCTTTTCATAACTCAGATCCTGTTTTGTATCTTTATGCAATTTTCCCCCCTGATATTACATTTTATGAGGAATATACATGTGATGTGCCATTAAGCTAACTGGCATCCAGAGGGTAACAATTAACTGATGAGCAACCTAAACTTACAAAGCAGGAGGCACAATATTTTAGTAGTAAGGATAAATTTTAGGCCTGGTTTTGAAATATTTCCATTTTAGAAATTAATGTAATCTTTTCTGCAGCCATTTTATTAAGAGGGAAAGAAGAAGAAGAAAACAGAAGTTTTATTTTGAACAATAAATTGTGGAAGATTGAATGTTCTAGAGAGGCCTATTTGACTTTATTACTTTGCTTTACTTTAAAAACTACATAAATCATTGATTTTAAAAATGTCCCAGCCTATATTTCGTTAACAATGTCTCCTTTTACTAATGTAAACTAATGTAACTTTTTAATATACTGTAGTGTGTAATGTCCAGAACATTGTCTATTAAATGTAATCGACATAAGTAAATAAATAAGTTAATTTTGCAAAGTAAACTCAATAATAAGAACTTCACAGTTCCTTCAAGAGCATGATCAAATTGGTAATGCTCTTACCTGGGAACAATTTTTTGTAGTTTTGAGTTTGGACTTTTCCAAATATTTCCAGTTCCTATTA